AATCCCTAACAAAGGGCCACAGGTACCGCCCCTTCCAGTGTCCCGTGGAAGCCACCTGCGACCCTACTTTTTGGCGTAGGCCAGGGCTTACCACAAGAGGACCAGCTACTGCTGATATGGCACTACCCAATCAGTAAGACTGGATAACACTGGGAAAACGTACCCACTCCACTTGGGACAGGGACGTTGCGGAAGCTCCAACCTTCCCGAAGGAGGTTTCGGAAGCAAATACACATATGAACATTCTTTAGGTGCATATGGAAGAGGTGATTGTAACCCTCTTGGAATGGCATAAGTCTGCAAAAAAAATTTGTTCCACTCCTCTTTACAGATCCTCTCTAAATCCTTAAGGTTTCTTGGCTGTCATTTGGCAACTCAAAGTTTCAGCTCCCTCTACAGATTTTCTATAGGATTGAGGTCTGAAAACTGGCTAGGCCACTCCATGACCTTAATGTGCTTTTTCTTGAGCCACTCCTTTGTTGCCTTGGCAGTATGTTTTGGTTCATTGTAATCCTTGAAGACTTATCCATGACCCATCTTCAGTGTTCTGGCTGAGGGAAGGAGGTTCTCGTCCAAGATTTTACAGTACATGGCCCCATCCATTTGCCCCTCAATGCGGTGAAATCGTCCTGTACCCTTAGCAGAAAAACAGCCCCAAAGCATAATGTTTCCATCTCCGTGCTTGACTGTAGGGATGGTGTTCTTGGGGTCATAGTCAGGATTTCTCTTCCTCCAAACACTGCGATTCGTGTTAATGCCAAAGAGCTCAATTTTGGTCTCATCTGACCACAGCACTTTCTCCCAAGCCTTCTCTGAATCATTTAGATGTCCTTTGGAAGACTTTAAATGGGCCTGTACTAGTGTTGTCAAAAGACCCGGTATTTTGGTACCAAGTCGGTACTAAAACAATGAAAACGTTACGGTACCAGGTTTTTTTAAGTACCGGTGGTACCGAGTACCCGGTCAACCCGGTTCTTGATGCGCTATCCTCTTCCAGTGTTGCCAAGTCCGCAGTTTTCCCGTGGAATTGGGCTGCTTTAACACTGTTACCGCGGGTTGTTTTTCATGTCCGCGGGTTGAAAAACGACCCCATTAACGTGATATTTAGCCCCTGGAATGCGAATTTTACCTGGGGAACCCGGCCAAAACATGCGTGTTTTATCCTCGGAATGCGATTTTTACTGGGGGACCCCCTCGAAACGCGATTGGGTGGGTTTTGTTGTGAAAACCTGGCAACCTCTTCATAAAAGCAGTGGCGACCTCAAGAGGAGGAAACGCATCAAACTAACAAAACACCCCGATCAAGTTCAAGCAGGTACGTTTCAATTACATTTTTACTATTTAGAGCTTCTGTAATGAATATTATTCCATATTTTAATTTTAAATTCGGATTGAAATAAACATCGCCGTTAGCATATACGTAGTTAATCGTTAGCATAAGCATGGCTAACGCTAATATAATGAGCATTAGAATTAATTTTGTTCATTTTGTTCAAAATAATTTCTTTGTTAATTATTTAATGCTGCTATAACTTTTATTACTGTAAAAAACAGGACATAATGGTATTTACTATTTTTACACACCAGAGGCTTTTAAATGAACTGTGTAACCAAAATATGCGTGTTAGATAATGTACAGTATCTCCTGTATAGACTTTACTGTACAATGTTAGATCTAGTAACATCTTACAGTGAGTGAACAATATATTTTTAAAACATTCATTAATGTTTGTGAATGTTATTTAATACAAACACTTGATCATTC